CTGGCTCTATGGCTTGAAAAGCAGGATGAGCGCCGCCCCCTAGAGTCGGACACGACTGGACTGCAAATGTCAAGGGGAACCTTTAACTTTATATATATATGGGGGTCCTACTGTATAGGAAATATATATAGCATAGTAAAAGGGGGGGAAATAAGAAAAATTATTTTCACACGCATTACCAGAAAGGGCCATTGACAAATATTCACAGCATGGTCTTTGGCTCCCTCTAGTGATCAGTTCTGGTAATACACATGGAAGTAGTTTTTCTGTTTGTTTGTTTTTCTTTTACTATTTTTGATATTTTCAGACCATGAACAAGTGAAACTGTTAATATGGATCTCGCAGATACAGGGGTCCTATGTATTTACACAGGGGATTTTTTTTTAAAAAATCTTACCTTGAGTTGTTCAGTAAAGACAGAAGTTTTCCCCTGAACATTGTGACCTATGTGTTCCCATGTTTCAAAAATCAGCAATATTTTTTAAAAAGAAAAGGGCTTTCCATTTATACGCTGAACCCAGTTTCATTAAGAGATGGGAGGAGAGGTGGGTAAAAGAAAGTTTATCTTCACTACCCCTCTTTTCCCAAGTAATGTGGTAAATTCTCCCAGTACATTTCAACAAGTTGAGGTGCCAAACAACCTTCACAAATATGGAAGGAACGCACAGTGCAGAATTATTGACCACATTTTTGGAATAATCCCCCTTGCTGTAAAAGTGACTTGGAGGGGGGGGGAGGCAATCTTAATTTTCTCCCCACAGAAAGTCTTCCAAGGCTTAAGCAGTGCCTCAGGGATTGTCTTTCCCTCCCATTTCCATAGGAGCCCGTAGCTTCCATGCTCCAGCACCAGAATGTAAACGTCATTCTGAGATGAATGCAGAATTTGGAGCAGCTACGTTCTAAGTCAGGTGCACAAAGGGAACGTCAGGCAGGTAATTAACCATGAGGGAACAAAGTGAAGAGCCCCAGAAAAAAAGAAGAAAGGAAGGAAGTGGAGGTTGAATTAGGCAAATCAAGGAAGCATTTGCTTTTCCCATCTTCAGCACACATACCCTTTTTGCCTGAGGACCGTTTCTCTCAGATCTGCATGAAGGAAAGAGAACTAGAAAGTCTGAAGAAAGGTAAACTGCAGTGGAAGTGGAACCTTCCTTATTCAGACTCATTTAAAAGTATTTGGGGGTGGGCTGGGGGGTTTCAGAGAGGAGCTGGTAAGTTTTAGGGTCAGCTAGCCCAAGGTGTCTGATTTCTTCTGTTCTCTTTCAATAATATATTACGGTATGTTTCTTTCAACCTGTTAAAAAGGCCTTTTCCTGCATATATGGTCGTGGGGTCACAGGTAACTTAGCTATTACAAAAGGGGGTCATTAGTCAAAAAAGGTTGGGAAACATTGGTCTATAGCTATAGCTATATTCTTATGTATATCTGATTCATGATATTAAAGAAACTATCATTTAGCACTGCATATGCCTGAGAATGTATCAAACAACCAAAGGTTAGCTGTCTGTCTGAAAGTCTTTGACTAGTGTAACAATAACAATAACAATAACAATAACAACAACAACAACAACAGTAATAATAATAA